CACACACACAAACACGCCTGCCTTTGATTTGTCTTTTAGAGGAATATTTCCATAATTTCACCATCGTTTTGCCCACGCACCTGACTCTGGGTGTCTCTGCCAGCTGATTCTCCAAGCCTGGGTGCTCAGGATGCTGCCTCTTGCTTTGTGCTGAGGCAGCCCAGCTCAGGGCAGCCAGTTTGGGTGGCAGAGGTGATACCCTGGGTCCCAAATCTCACCATTCTTCCTTCGGGAAGGTTTCCCCTCATGCAGAGGTCGGGATGCTCCATTCCTTTGTGGGTCTCCATTCACTTGCCCATTTACACTCACATCCAKCCACGCACAGCCCTGGATCTCAGCATGAGAACAAAACAGCTCAGTGCTGATACTCCTGGATTATCTGGGCTGTCAGCAGCCCCATCCAGCAGCAATCCCATTTTCCTCACTGCAGCTCTCCTGGCYGATCCCTCAGCTTTGCCTGTGCCTCCATGGTCCCTGCAGCAGCTGCGTTTCCCAGTTGGAWGGCAAGAGCTTTCCTAACATGCCTGTTTTGCCAAAGTTCCTCTGAAGTTTTTCTCCAGGTGAAGCCTGGATTAAGGAAAGCTTGGCTTGTCTTTGGCTGAGCTATTTATAGAGCAGCAAGGAGGAATAGAGGGATTTAGGCACATATTTTAGGGGAGAAAATGGCTGGATGTGTAAAAGCAAGCCAGATCTTGTTCAGCATTCCTCCAGTTAGTCACAGGCTCCAACGACCTTGTGAGAGATGCAGGCAACAGGAGAACTTCCCTGGAGAAGGATGATTGCCTTTAAACCATTCCACATCGTAGAGGGTTGGGTGAGGTTGGGATCCCAAGTTAAAACACGTCTCCTGATTCCTGAGCCGTGAGCCTCGCAGATCTTTGGAGAAGGCTGAGCCTGCTGGCTGTGCCCACGGCTGCTTCCACATCTCTTGGCTTYSCAGAGCTGYCCYAGTGGGTGCTGGGGACAGGGACAAGGACAGGGACAGTCCCTGCCAGGTGTGAGGGCAGCCAAGGAGGGCTGTGTCGCTGTTCCAGTGCAGGGAGCCAGGATGGCACATGGCAATGCACCGGACACTGTCACCAGCACTGCCATTGCCTTTAGGGCTGCAGAGTGACCCCTGAGCAACTCGAGAATTGCAGATTTCTGGGAGAAAAAAAATTACCATTTGCTTTGAGAAACTGTTGTGTATGAGTGTGATTTTTTTTGGTGAAATACAAAGGTTGCTTTAGCCATGTGGGTCTGGGGAATGTCACTGTGCTTGGGCTGTGCCTGTGGGTAAATGAGCTGCCAGCTCTTACTGGAAAAAATTGGCAGTAATTGGTCAGAAGAGGAAAGAGGAAAAAATCATAAAAAGTCATGATTTGGTCCATCAGATCTGGAATAAAAGCCAGGACCTGCCCAAATGGATCCATTTGCCCTGTGCCCTTCCTGCAGAGTGCTGCATGGCAGCCACGTGCTTTGTAGGTTTGAGGTTTTCCCCAAATTAGAGCTGCATCAGGCTCTGGGAACGAACATCCCRCTGGAAAACCAGCTACAAACCGCTGCTGGGGGCTGGCTGGCTCGGGGAAAGCATTCCCGGGAGTGGTGTGTGGGTGTGTGGCCGTGACACGAGGGTTAGGTCGGAAATGGGGTTGGAAAACAGGACGGACACTCGGTATTGCCATCGTCACCTTGGCTGGGTGGCCTCACCGAGCTGCGAGGGACACCGTGCAGCAGAGCCCTTCGTGCAGGACAGGGCTGTCACCCCCTGCCCTCAGCGGGACATCTCCCACACCAGAGCAAACCCCAAAACGTCCCTGCCCTCTCCCCACTGTCAGAAGCGTGGCTTTCCCAAGGCAGGTGCGCCAGAAATCCGGGATTGTGACACCCCGCAGCCTCCAGCGAGGATGGAGCAGATCGAGGGGGATGATTTAAGCGCACGGAGTTTTTCCCTCACACGAGTGGTGACCTGTTGGAAACCCAGAGCCACCCAGACCAGCTCCTTTGGCTCCCCTCCCGCACGCTGGCCCTTTAAGGAGGCTGTAACAGGACACCCCAGCCCCGCAGAAAAGGTGGCTGAGGTTTCCCTGTCTCTAAACTGGCTGGTGTTTTCTTTTTTTTTTTTTCCCTCCTCCCCCTTTTCCCTTCCTCCAGTCCCAGTTCAATTTGCTCAACAACAGCATGGATCAGAGCATCGGCAGCAGAGCAGCCTCCACCAGCCCCTACAGCTCCGAGCACACCTCCAATGTCCCAACGCATTCTCCCTACTCACAACCCAGCTCKACCTTCGACGCCATGTCCCCGGCTCCTGTCATCCCCTCCAACACCGACTACCCCGGTCCCCACCACTTCGAGGTGACCTTCCAGCAGTCCAGCACCGCCAAATCAGCCACCTGGACAGTAAGTTGAATGTCTTTATTTTGGCTGGGGAGATGCTCAGCCCCGCGGCACAGGGATGCAGCCACCGCCGATGGGGACAAACCGGTGCAGGTGGTGCCCCTGGGAAGAAAATAAGGAAACATCAGTGCTTGCTTTTCTTGCTTTCCAGGGGTTTTTGCCAAAGGGCTGCAGAGCACAGCGGCGGGASTGTCACTTCTCTCGCTGCAATTCCCTAAATTGTGGGTGAATTTCCCCGCAAAGAAACGTCCTAGGGAAGTACCTGCATGCTCTCACGGTGCTTCCCGGCGTATTTGCCAGGGAGTGCTGTCAGAGGCGAGGCCGTGGGTGAGAGGGACTTTTGCTCACATCTCCCAGAACCCTTCCCCGCTTTGCTGTAAATTCCTGCTTGTCATTAACAGTCCTTTTCCACCCCGTATTAGGGGAGTAACTTAATCCCTAGAAGTCACAGCAAATAACAGCGCAGGTTTTTAAGCATGGTGGGTTTGGACTCGCACAGGGATGGCTGCACAGYTCGGGAGCCGGGAGCAGGTTTGGTTTTGTGCTGCCCGGCACAGGCGGGACCCAGGGACCGGGCAGAGCACACGGGGRCTGCTTTGCTTTTTGTGGCTCAATTCTCATCCCCACTGCTGGCTCAGCGCAGCGCTGCCCCGGTTTTTGAGGAGAACCAGCACGTGTGGCCGGTGCCGGCGGTATTCCCGCAACGGGTACCGCTGGAATAGCCGGGAGAGCCGCTCACCACGCTAGAGCCGGGAGGGTTTTCTACTCCGGGAAGCACTGRCAGAGCAGGGAGCTTGGGATGGGACGGCTGATACCCCTCAGGAGCGGCAGAGTTCCCTCCGGGGCTGCGATTTGACGTTGTCGCGGAACGCGCGGAGCTGCCCAGCGATGTCGAAGCGGCGGGCGCGATAATGACTTTTGTTCGCGGGAGGTGACGTGTTTAATTGCCAAACCAGCCCTTCCTCCGGGAGACAGAAAGCATCCTCGGGAGCTGTGGCGAACCCTCGGGATGCTCTGGGTGCTCTCGGTGAGGGGAGGGAGCGGACGGGCTCCGGCAGCGGCCGCGGCGCTGGGGCTGTGTCCTGCGGAAATCAATGGGTTTGTGCAGAGGGGAAGAACACCGAGCCGGCAGCCATCGGGTGTTTGAACGCGGCCGAATTAATTCCCCGCGGCTGAGTCACAGGGAGCAGGGACTTGGGACAGCGCCGTGGTTAAACGCGGCTTGCCCTGGCAGGAGTGGTTGAGTCTTTTCTCTTTCCGCTGTCCTTCCTTGCGGTATGTTGCTCAGAGATGCGTTTCCTTAGGAATTGAATAAACCGGAGGTCCTCGGGCAGGATGTGATTCCAGCCCAGTCCCGTCCCTCCTGGAGGGATAACTCCCATCACAGGACCTGGACAGGGAAGGGAGGCATCAGTGCCACTAAAGTGTCAAACAGAAACAGAAACAAGGCACTGCAGGGTGTYTTGTCCCGGACCAGAACGTGTCCGATGCTCGCTTGCCACTGTCCCCAGCTAGAAGCGCCGGGAGGTGGTTTTGGGGTGGAGCAGATGCAGAGCAGGAGGGAATCCTCTCCTGAAAGCCATCTCATCCCCCGGGATCTTTCCACAGTTCTGCTGCAGGGAGTTCAGGCTGTCACGGCATCGCCCTGTGCTGACCGTGCTCCTGTAGCTGCCGTGTCCCAGCCGGGAGCTCGGCTCACCAGGACAGGATATGGCTGCTTTTTCCCAAGCCTCTGTGGGAGATCAGTGCAGGCAGTGCCCCACGATGCCCTCTCAGCCTTGGCAGAGCAGCTGGACCGGGGATCTGCCCGGGGAACACGCTGATTCTGGGAGCACCTGCAGAGGATGCACCCCCGGCTGCAAGAGGGTCCTGGGAAGGGATCAGAGCGAGGACTTGAACGCCTGAATTGGCTTTAACACTTCAGAAGGCACTCAGAGGTGTGTGGCACTCTGAAACACCCTTCTGGGGGTGCTGCATCCCCCCAGAGCAGGTTGGCTGCAGGGTCAGTGCCCACCTGCACTGAGCTGAGCCTCGTGGAGAGCAGCAGTGGCTCAGCAGCATCTGGAGCCCTGGAGAACACAGAGAGTGTTTCGTTTGAAGCAGTGATTCCTGCAGGATTGCCCGGGCTGGTGCAGGGTGTCCAACACGCTGAGATGCCACATGAGGAAATGTCCTGCTGCTGTGACAGCTGGTGTCACTCCTGGCTGAGGGTGTCACAGGGAGGGTTAGGGCTGGAAGATGAAGCCACTGCCTTCCTCCAACCTACTGTGAGCTCTGAAGAATCACTGCCACACCTGAGAGTTTGTCCTGGTTTAGCGGGGAAAGAAGCTCAGCAAAACAAATGTGTTCTGTGTTGTCAGTCAGTCAACACACAAATAACTCAGTGTGTGACAGCGTCAGCCTGCACTGGAACTGGGAACACTCATGTCAGACGAGGAAAAACCACTGGGAAATGCAGGCACTTGAGAAAGGAAGGTAAATTTTGTTCAGGAGGGCTGGGGACAGACAGGGACMTGTGACAGTGGACATGCCAAGGGCAGCAGCATCAACCACCCTGGTGCCCTGCAGGACACACACGGTTTGGGGCAACATTTGGGAGGAACCAACCCAGCCTGTTCCACCCAGAGAAGCCTCATGACTTTTGGACACGCTGAACTTCCCTGCACCCAATAATTCGTGCCAGGATTGTTGATCAATTTACACCAAGACTGACCACAAGCTTGGCAAAACCAAGGTGCTGGGCAGCATTTTGGAGCAGTGAGGAGCCCCCTGCGCTGGAAGAGGACTCAGCTGAAGGTCTCTCATAATCTGGGGTTGAGTCATGGAGGATCTGGCCATGGAGGAATGGACAGCTGGTGCACAGGCAGTGCCAAAGCAAATGGTTTGTGTGAGTCATCTTGTCAAACAATCTGGCATCATTTTTTGACATAATCACGAGCTTTGGTTGATGGAAATGTGCAGCCCAATGGCCTCCTCCTTTTGAAGGGTTTTACCTTGGGGAATGTGGCATTATCCATTGTGCTTTGCTTAGGACAGGAGGCTCCTGATGGCCCCGGGGCTCCTGGCCAGAGTGTTTGGAGGTCAGCTGGTCACTCTGGAATGGTTTGCTCTGCAGGGCTGGGCAGGTCAGTGTCACCCAGTCAGGGCAGCAAGATGTCCCCAAGCCCTTCCCACACACACAGTGCTCTTATCCACACTTTAAAACCTCTGTGGACAAGAAGAAGAAGATGAAGAAGATGAAGAAGATGAAGAAGATGAAGAAGATGAAGAACATGAAGAAGATGAAGAACATGAAGGATGTGGAACAGCTTTCTTGTACAGGATACCAGAGAAATCTTCTGCATGGAAGCTCCCCTCAAGAAGGACAAGGGGGCTCGGTTGTGATGTGCCCAGGAGATGGTTCCTGACAGCAGCCAGCTCTTTAATCTAATAACAAAATGTATAATGAGATCAAGCACTTGGAAGCTGAAGCCAGGCAAATTCAGACTAGAAACAAGGTGGAATTTTTTTTTTTTTTTTTTTTTTTTTTTTTTTTTTTTTAGCAGTGAGGATAATTAACAGTAGGAACAATTTACCAAGGAATGCGGTGGATTCTCCCAACTCCTGAAGGATTCAAATGAGGAGCCTGCATATCTCTCAAGAGATAAGATGTGCTTTAGCAGACAGGACGAGGAGGAAGGGATCTGGGGGCAGCAATGTGGGGAATGGCATTAGACCATCATCATGCTCTCTCTTGCCTCCCAATGCTGATTTTCTAATTTTAGGAAAGGGCTGAATGAAGAAGGGTGACATTACTCAGCTCTGTCCCTGCAGAGATTCTGGGCAGTGATGGGTGACACTGGATGGGCTGGGTGTCTCCCGCGCCGCTCCGTGCTRCGGGAAACCCTCCCTTTTCATTTTTAATGCCCTTCTTATCTCAAAGACCAACGGCCAGATGCCGAAAATAAGATTTTTCCTGCGGTCTGGAAGCCCCCCTCGGGCAATGYGCTCCGGCGGGGCGGGAGCAGCACCGGGAGCTGCGGCGCTGCAGGACGGGGCACGCCGGCATCCCGCCCGCCTTTCGGAGCCACCGGGGCTCCGCTGCCCGCAGCTGCCCGGACACGCAGCCCATCGCGGCGCTTTTCTCGCCGCAGCCCCTCGCCACGCYGGCCAGCTGGTAACTGACGGATAATTAGGATTTTTCTCAAGTCGCGCAGGCGGAGGAGCGCGGCTCCCTCCCCGCCGGACGCTGTCGCATGTGCCAGGGATGCAGAGGTGTTAATGGGGTCTTTGGCCTCCCGCGGCCGGGATGTAAAGGGGATGGTGAGGGGGCTCTGCCTGGAGCCCCTGGAACCGGGGGGAGATGGACAAACCCCCGAGCMGAGCGGGCAGGAGGGTCTCTGACATGGGCACGGAGSGTCCGAACCACAGCCAGGGTCTTGYTGCTGTTTTGGGGAGCAAAGGGAAGGGCTGGACAGGACCACAGCCCAGGAGAGCTGTCCCTGCTCCCACGGATGGCAAACCCACAGCAAAGCATCCCAGTGGGAGGTGGCAGCGTGGAACTGGTTCCAGTTGCTCGATAAGTCTTGCAGCTGGAGCATGGGAGCTGAAATGATTTCTTTGGTCCTAACTGAGCGAGGAGGATGGGAGTAACTGGTGTGGTAGGAGGCAGGTTCTCCCTTGCTGGTCACTGTTGGGGTAGAGGCAGTTGTAAAGAGGAGGGGGAAAACCTTCAGGAACATTTACAGACCACAAAAACCCTCTGCAAACTCTCTCAGGCTCTTTCCCATCCTCCAGGGAGGTTGCTGTCCAGCAGCCATGGCCTGGAGATGATCAGGGGCCACACACAACTCGGGACACCCTGAGCAGCTCTCAGATGAGTCTGGGGTGTGCCAGAAGCAGGAAAGCAACCTCAGCACCRGCCTTCTCCAGAGCCCATCGAAGCCAACCCACTGGAGGCTTTCCACCAGCTTTTGCAGGGTGTGGATGAAGCTCCAGGAGCTCCAGACACAATGGAATTAAGA